GCATGTTATACGAAATTCGGTAAAAAACCCAAAATCGCCATATAATATTCAGGTGCCTTAAAAACCATTACATGTTAAAATTGAGTTAGAAATCTGAAACTTTGCAGGGCGTCTAGACGTTAACCAAATCGACTGTAAAATTTTTTTCATGTTTCAGAAGTATCGGGAAGTGGGTTTCCTGGAACCCCTGTTTTACAACAGATTGTCGTGAAGTTAGAGCACTTTATCTTCGTGACATTATTTTCACTCTTGTTTCTACATTCTTTTGACTTGTGGTTTCCTGCACAGAAGAAACATGTTGGGTCTTTATCTTTGGCTTTGTAGTACATGGAGTTAGCCATGTGACCAAATTCCTGGCAATGATAACATTGGATGACATGAATTCGGTCTGTGACATGGTGTTCCCTAAGGTCAATATGAACATAGTCTCTGTTTTGTCTGATTGACTCTCGTACTGCTGCATTGACACGGATGACAGCCGATTTCTCTTTATCATTGAAGAAAACCACTTTAACCGCATCGTCTTTTTCAGATGAGGACTTCTGACTTCAGTATTTCATTCTTTTCCAAAAGTTTCTCTAGCAGTGCCTCCTTGTTTGTGATGTCAGAAGGAATATTCCGAATAGACAGTTTAGGGTCCAATTTATTTCCTGGTTCGGACTTTGACGATACCTTGTATTTATCTTGACTTTTAAATACTGTTTCAGCTTTCTTAAGTTGATCCTTGGTAACAAACTTGAAGGTTGCAGTATTTCCGGACACTGTATAGTTCTTCACTGGGTTGACTTTAAGGGAACCTTTCATTTCCTTTTCATCATCTTTAGTAATGGGTTCTTCAGTTTGAGTCTTCTCCACTGTGAGTGTGTGTTTTTCTGCAAGCTTAGTTTCTTCTTGTGTTTTCTTTTCTTTGGGCAGTGTTGCTACCACTGTATTCAATAAATCTGGTAGAATTGTAGGGAGTACTTCTGCTAGTACCTCTTTGAGCTGTGTCTTTATAATTTCCTTGAAATCTGGTGATTCCTGTTTAATAAAGATAACCAATGATATTGCAGTGTTTAAGTCACGTGCGCATGATATAGCTTGCTTGCGTTTGCTTGAGATCAGATACAAACTTTTGTTCCTTCCTCCTTCTCACTCGCTCTCTGCATTATACCTTCTGATAAACCTATTGCTTGCAGTTTGATGAATATCTCTGTCATCTGTCATTTGCCTTAAAGTGATACCCTTCTCGTACGCTTTTGTTATGGTTTCAATGTCATGAGAGCTATATATATTATATATGTATTATATATACATCCAAGAAAAATGTATGATTTTGTCGAGCGTGCCAAATCACTCTACAGTCGATCTTCAAAATTGTCAAAAGTTAATATCATCCGACATCCTGCCAAGTTAATAGAAAGACTGCCAAATAACAAATACCTGCGCAAATAACTTCGCAATTAAGTAGGCAGGATTATGGTTAAATTCGCAGTGGCAATGCATTGTAATGGGTGGAAAGGGCCTCATTTAAGAATGTGTACTGTCTAAGTCTTAACTGTGTAGTGTGTCGTAATTCTATGTGACTGGAAATTGACGAGAATGTGTATGGTGTAGTGTGTGAACGGAAATCCCAGAACAAGACTATTGTCCCTCGACCCTCGAGTCTCTCCCGATCGGCAACAGTTATTGTTAATACAGCAGTCAGCACTCAGCAGCTCATTGTGAAATATTAAATAATAAACGCTATAAAGGAACCAGGATGTATCAGTTATCACAATATCACATTCTTTTCAGATTCATAGGCAGCGATAGTCAGGACTCAGGCCCCACATGATCAAACATCATATATCCAAACCCGATTACTTATTCCCTACGATCTTTTTGCCTTCGGCAAGAGTAGGGAAAAAACCGTTAGGCTCATAATAATCAGGGTAATCAGGGTAGCAATGTAGCATGGACCGTGGAGAACATGTTATTGAACAATGGACCGCTTTTTTAAACGTCCTGCGGACAAATCGCCGGGACCTTCGTATAGTAAACGGTCGACCGTTTCAAAACAGGGCAATGTGACTGCTTCCGTTAAAGTGGCTGAATTTGGGAAAGCGACGTTCTACAGTTCTACGCAGACAATGGGAAGTGTAGAAAAATTATTGTTGATGGCAAAATTGAATATCATGTCATAAGCTATGTCATATCTTGTTGTTATGGAGTTATGGCCCCCCATAATCATGGGACATGAGCCGATCAAAATTGAATTTAGTTAACAAATATATATTATGAGTATGACATCTAATTTAGCACTGCATTGGACATGACAACATCGACATTTAAATAAATTAAGATGTCAAGTTTGTCGTTAGGTACTAGGCAGGGTTAGCCGTTTGGTTTTTGGCAAAAGCTTGTTAAGGGATGGGGTTGTGCCGCATATTATATAATATAAAAATATTTATATTTTTATATTATAATTTTTAAGATTATTATGTACAAAAAGGTTAAGTTCAGTCAGACTCAGAATCAGAGGCACTGTGTTTTGTAGATGACCGATGATCATTAAAGTAAATATTACAATAATGTCATTCGCAATTCGTGATAGTATGTAATTATGTTTGATATATATAATAAAAACACAGCTGATCAATTCAAGCTTAACAAGCCAAATTATGATTGCAATCATTAAACAAATTAATATCGTCTTTGGCGTTATTTATGATTGCTGAATCGCAGTTTAAATTAGAATCGGACAAAATTAGATTTCACGATATTATCGTAAAAATCAATTTTATAACTTAAAGTTGAAGTAGCAACCAGTTAAGTTGATGATTCTTGCAAAAAAAAGCAGTATTGTATCTAACTATGCAGCATATTGGAGCCGCAAGTGCCACATTTGAGTGCCGCAAGTGTCGCATGTTACATATTATGATTGATAATGCCGCAAGTGCCACATGTGAGTGCCGCATGTTAGTGCCACAAGTGCCACAGTGCCGCATTTACCTTATAAGGTTCTCTGTTATGATCCCCCCTCCGGCCTCCCCCCGATATCCGGACAAGCACCTTCCCAACTATTTACTGGGAAGCCGGATACCCGATCGATTCCTAAATTTTATCACTATCAGAGTGAAATTGAGTGGAATTTGAATTAAAATATTGTCAAATTGTTATTATTCTAGAGGGTAAAAAAGAAAATTTGATTTAATCAACAGCGAAACCCCCGCCCCCCCCTGTAATCAATCGTAAATATTAGGGAACCCCCTCCCCCCTCGGCTGATTACGTAATATATGTGAACGACCCCTTATTCGGAATAACAAATAGAATTAGAAACTGTCCTAGTTACATAAATCAACTTTGTTATTTAATTTCATATAAAATATGCCGAACTTAATAGTAAAATTTACCGTTTAAAATATAAATAGAATCTCCTGAACTCCCATGATGATGATCTCATTCAATTTCTGAATAGTTAGGTGAAATGTTGATGAAATGTTAGGTGAAATGTCCAGTTCACTCTTACTCCACCAAGATTAATTTTCTTTATTCGTCAAGGTAGGTGTATGATGTATATTATATTGTTGACCTGTCTAAAGTTTGCGTAGTATTTTGAAAGTGTTCAAAGGCCGTAGCCAGAAAAAGGTTCTACTCTACCCACTCAGAAGTTTAGATACGGCACAAAAAACAAATTTCTGGTATTTATATATAGCTACAATTATCGTAGTCCTGGCTACGGACTTGAAATTTATCAATATGATAGTATGACGCGTTATATGTTGTGAGTTTGGCACTCTGTAAGAGGCATCTCAATCATGCTTTGTAGCATTCTTTGTGAATTGTACTTCGTTGAATGTATGTCTTATCTTTTCAGGACGTCTATATTATAATTCGGATGTTCTTTTCTGAATGTACATCTGTATGTGTGCCACCCACGTGCAAATAAGGACAAGGTTAAAATTAGGAAGTTGCATAGTAACGAGGGTGGAAACGCGTTAAGATCGGTTCTTTTTGTGATATGAAACTAAATATGACAGCGTGGTCATCTCTCAGAATCGTGGGATTAAAAAGCCGTTAAGGCTGGAGGTTGCCATCTGGGTCCCTGAGCCTGTGGCCGACTATGAACCACATTCCTTATTGTTCAGTGGTCGGGGAGGCGGGTACGGTGGAAAGGAGGTTTTTCGCAGGTAAAAGTAGTCGACCTTTATCTCTTTATGTAGATTTGTAGCGGATAGTTGGACTGGATATCCGTGATAAGAATGTTTGTTTTGATAACGTGCTTCATCTGATCATCTAGTTATATCTACAGTTGCCGTACTCTCATATTAAGTAGATTTAAGGGCCACAATTCTTGTTCCAATTTTATGTTAATATGATGATATAATCGATTCATGATAGCTATCTTCGTAGTGAAGTTATTGGATCGTTATTATAATCCTCAATAAGAATTTAACAGATTTGCCTGTATTATAGAGTAACCTATTTGTATCTAAACAGTAAAATTAATGGTGTCTGGACAAAAATATGCAGTATATTACAATGATAACTTTGAAGTTAGTTTTGATCTTCTCACGTGTAATGTTGTTACAACTTTTTATTGTTATATAAATATTCAATATGTAAAAAATGTACCTGCTCCATCTCACCCTTCTCAGAATGTTTGATATTTTGTGTAAGCCTACTTTTACATACCTTAATACTTGTTGTGTATTGTTTAAATACCTTAGTGTTCGTATACAATGTTATTGTACTCTTTTATAACTGACTGTTAAGTTACCAATACAAGGCATTATAAAGAAACAGACAATATAATTTCCCTGTTGAAATAGAGCTGACTGATTCTTATTGGAAGCTTTATCAAATGAGATAATCTTCAGTAACTTTAACAGCTAACACATGAGCTCTAGTCTGAAACGTGACCTTGCAAACCCGGTACTACTGAACGAACAGTGAACACTGCATGCTATGTATCAGGTTACAGTTGTGAGCTGTAAGACCTGAACTGCCACTGCCACTGAACTTGTATCTGTTTCAGGGGAAGTTCCAGTGCCCTTATGTTGGGAGTTGTTGCTGCCGTGGTGGCCGCCGGGGCTTTCTTCGTGTTCGGGGGCCGAACTTGGTGAGTTAAATATTTTAAAGTTGGCACTTAGCAAAGAAAAGTAAAGGAAACATTGCATTAGTTTTGCGTTGTTATTTAAATACCTGCCTCCTAGCTTGTTAAGACTTTAAGAATGTTAAAACTGTTATCAATAATATGTATCACGTCATAATATTTTAAACGGTACAAATTTCACTGAAACAGAGACCCAAAACCACACCCTTTCAGACTAGGTGACATAGAGCTAGTCAAAGCTTGCTGTGAGAACGACTTTTATAACACATGATCAGTGACCACGTGACCCCATTCCAAAGCGTAGGTGTTATCACGTGACCCCACCTAAAGTGTAGGTGTTCAGAGTAAACATCCTGCAAGTCAGATATCGAGTACTTATTTATGAATAATAATTTTGATTTCCACTAAGCCTGATCGGGTATAGTATAGAATTATAGTGCACCGATTTAAAATTAGCGGTTTTAAGAGATTCTCAGAAAGGTCAGCCAATTAAAAAAAATATATAAATATCAATCCAAGAATTTCCAGACACTTTTAAGGGGGCAGGGGGGGTCGACTTTTTAGTTGTTTCTGATAGATGGGAGTGATATCTATCAGATGCTTTTGATCCGATAGAAAAATATTGCTCCTAGCAGAAATTATCGCCGGTAGAAGGTCAGCGCTTGTGTGTAATTGTATTGCGCGAGCGATTTTTGATCGCGTGCCCTGAAAATCGAGTCTAAAAATCTATCTCCTCCTACATTTTTTGAGCAATCACTCTCAAACTTTCAGGATATGTTCTAGGGATCATTTAGAAGAGATTGTCCAGGCAAAATTTTGAGATAGGCCTTTAAACATTTTTTATTCGATTTTGAAAATCTTAGACCTGGTTTTTTGACGATTTTTCGAGGTCCAAGATTTTTAAAATCATCGAATAAAAATGTTTTAAGGCCTATCTCAAAATTTTGCCTGGACAATCCCTTCTAAATGATCCTTAGAACATATCCTGAAAGTTTGAGGGTGATTGCTCAAAAAATGTAGGAGAAGATATATTTTTAGACTCGATTTTCAGGGCACGGGATCGAAAATCGCTCGCGCAATACAATTACACACAAGCGCTGACCTTTTACCGGCGATAATTTCGGCTAGGAACAATATTTTTCTATCGGATTAAAAGCATCTGATAGATATCACTCCCCTCTATCAGAAACAACTAAAAAGTCGATTTTGAGAAAATTTCCATGAAGACCCCCCCTGCCCCCTTAATCGAACAAACTATGTTTAAAGTTCTTACCGTTTTACCGTGAGGCCCTCTTATATAACTATCAGTGATCTCGACTGTCAATTCTAAGTCAATACACTTATATAAATAGTTGTATCTGATTCTTATATATCTGAATTATTATAGAGAATTGTTCGTTTGGGGGTAGATTAGTTTGATAACAGGTTTTTGTGATTAGTAAGTGTCTGGGCGATTTCTGTAATATCTTTCTAGCTAAAATAGATTTATCATTTATAATATATACCAAGTTGTACAAATGATTATTCATTTAAAACGAATGATCTATCATTTGTTTCTAGTTTTTTGAAACTGCCAAATATTGATTTCTTAGTATTTTAGATACGTTTCAGTTTCAAAATTAACTCCTAAGAATTAAGATAAGCAACTTACAGTTATAAGTAATACTTTTATACAGACGATAATTTATTGAACATTTATTGAACATTTGACAGAGAATTGGTGCATCGTTTGATTGAATTATGCTATGTTTGGAGAAGCGATAGTGGTTTGTAACATAAAATCCACAGATCTTAGATCGTATCTTTCCCATTTGCATTTTATAGTTCCCACTTCTTGATCTATCTATATGCGTTTAAATGTATTGTGATTAATCGTTCAATTAAGTGAACTGTATTGGAAATTTAAGTAACTTAAATTGCGTTTTATTGCACTGTACGACTAGTGAATACTCTGCCAGGAATTACTTTGAAATCTTAACTCAGAAGAGGTGAAACATAGATACATGTCATGTTTTTCACTCGAAAGAAACAGCAGTTTTAAATTCAGCAGTATTGCACTACCGTTAAGTACACGATTTTTCATTCGAACAAGAAACGCATGATTTTCAGTCTTAGTTCTAGGTCCTTCTGAACGTGGCAAATTGGAGCCAATTTCGCGTAACGCGCACTGTCATAAATGGTGCACATATTCGTACGTGAGTCTGCTAGCTGCACGTACGTTCAGATTGAAGTTTTTGTAGATCCCAACAGCTATTACTTGCACTGAAAATGACAGCCATCGACCATGCATAAGTATTTAAGACAAGTTCATTGCGATTGCATATAAAATATCGAGAACGACTTTATGCCTACCTACTCTTAACTCAATATCTACCTTCAAAGCAAAGCGCTTGTCAAATTGTAGCTGTACATTTACAAAAAAAATCAATACTCTAAAATACTATCTCGCTTACAACTTATTAATCAGTGCTGTAATCTTAATGAAATCCTAGAGTAGCAATGCCGCCGTAGATAAGCTGGCAGAATATGGTTGCACGACACTGCACCCGTTTGCTCCCGGGAACAACAACCCAATTCCGATCCCTGACTCAGACATCTAAGAATCCTGTGGCTATTGTGTTCCCTGGTGAGCAGTTCTTTTTCTTTAAGGTAGTTGAACTATTTTGAATTTGTTTATTAGACAGATTGGGCAGTGGCAACCATACTTCCAGAGGTTACAAACACGTTTGTTTAAGATTTAAAATCCGTTAAATCTAACCAGACTTCATGGCAGGACAAGGAGCTCAATATGTTGGGATGGCAGACAAGTATCTCTCAGCCCCTGGAGCGAGGGAAGTGTTCCAAACAGCTCGCTCTATCCTCGGATATGACCTTCTCAAACTCTGTCAAAAAGGTTGGGTTCTTTTTTATTCTCTTATTCCATTCCTTTTGAACAATCTTTTATCTGACCAAGTGTGCACCACCTTATTAATGATCTTTTATCATCATTATTACAGGACCAGAGAAAGTGCTAAAGTTGACGTATTACTGTCAACCTGCTGTCATGGCAACGTCTCTTGCTGCTTTACATTGGCTTAAGAAGGAGGACCCCTCGGTTAGTACTCTCTTTCATAGGTCTACCGTGTCCCTGATTCTTGTTAGTATTTACAGGACTAACATGTGTTATGTAGCTTGTTACATACATTACATAAAGCTACATGAAGAGGTACCTGGTACATATAGAGGTAACATGTAGCTTGTTAATAGTTTTATTTAGTCTCTGAGAAGTTGGAGCTATTGCATTTTTGGTTTATGTTATAGCCTATAGGGATGTTATATCTAATGAAGGCTATCATGTTAATTTGTGTGTACATGATTAGAGTGATGATGATCTATATTTATATGTAGTTGATGAATAATGATTATAAAAGTATCAAACACCGCAATCTTCGTAAGATAAGATTGCGGTGTTTGATACTTTTATAAGTATCTTTAACAGTTTAACTGTTCTAAGATTTGAATAAATGATTATGTTAGTAAAACAACAATGAAATGTTTATCGTATAACCTAATCAGTAATCACTGTACTGGAGAGTAAAGAACTGCAAATTTTTTTCAACCTCACCGAATGTCGACTAATCGCCAGGTTTTTGAACGCTGTGTTGCAACTGCAGGCTTTAGTGTGGGAGAATTAACTTCTCTTGCATTCAGTGAAGCTGTTTCTCTTGAGGATGGTCAGTGTTAGATTGATTCATTGTGTTGATTCTTTTTGTCCTAATCTGTGATTATCATGGGCTTTTTTAGGGAAGTTTTCCTTGACTCCTTGAAAATTGAACTCTAATAATTTGTATTACCACAGCGTTCAGTATTGTAAAAGTCCGAGCGAAGGCTATGCACGATGCGTCGACTGATGTGAACTCTGGGATGATCAATGTTAGAGGCCTTGAAATCCCTAAGGTAAAGGAATACTCTTTTTGTAACAAAAAACGATTAAAAATAATCGTTTCATTGTATGAATAGTTGCCATTTCAGTGGCTTGTCTTAAAAGAAGGATAAAACAAAGGTCCGAATAGAAACATCCATATAGATATTTAATTATGATTTTTGTACCAGGATTCTATTTTACTTATCCAACATTCAATAAATCTCGTTTTCAGATCGAGGAGATGTGTCTAGAAGCAGAGGACATTTGCAAGAGAGAAGGGGTGGAAGGAGTTGCTGTGATTGGGAACTATTTGTTCCCTAACGCTGTCTCTGTCTCCGGATCTGATTACGCTCTCAGTCTAGTTTCAGATTTAGCAACTCAGAGCGGAGGAAAGGCGAAGAGACTGAAGGTGGCTGGAGCTTTTCACAGCCCCCTCATGGCTGGTGCATCTGTGGCTCTCAGAAGAGTTCTTGGTTAGTTTATATGCTGGTTTTTAATGTTTGATTAATAATTAGTTCTATCGAGTTGTTTGTTTTTCCTGCTCTTCTTTTAGGGATTGCTTCAAATATGGTCAACTATATTAGGTCATTAGGATCACGTTTCATTACCACAAAAGTTGTACGTGGGCTGTGTTGGGCACTTAGATTTACTAACAATGATATAGAGTTTCTTGTCACCAACATGATAACATTTTCTATATTTCTTCCTGTACGTATGATCTCATAGTACAAAGTATATTAACAGAGGTTTTCTCTCAGTGGGTGTGCCTATAGCTGATCCGCTGATACCAGTTTACAGCAATGTAACGGGTTATCAACATAGCCAATCAACTGAACTAACCGAACTGTTCTGTCAGCAGTTGCAGATGTCGGTAAGTTCATTTCAGATTAGAATTAAAATTTACGAAACTAGATCGTCAAGTATTTCAATGCAAAATTTGATAGCGATAAAAACGTCTATGTCGTCAATGGTATCCGTAAGGGGCCATCTACATACTTAGGACGTCCGCCAAAATCACAGATTTTCAGACCACCCCCTTCCCCCTGTCCGGGTGTGTCCAAATTTTCAAAACCAACCCCCTCCCCCGGATTTCCAGATTTCCAGCTACTCTTAAGAGTACAAATTAAACCAACTCAAATTCATTGTTAATAAAATGTGTAGTTACTTAAAATAGACAATAATACATTTAGTGTCGAACAAGTTTAGCACAGTTACATTTAAAGATTTAAGTACTCGTTCAAAATACAGGGATCTAAACTTACAGAGTAATTAGTGTCAAAGAGTCGAAATAAATGGGACTTTTTCGATAATTCTGCCAAAATTTCCGGACGTCCGGATTTTCAGAAAACCCCTCCCCAGTCCCCCTGTCCGGATTTGTCCGAAATTCCAAAACCACCCCCTCCCTATTTGCCGGACGTTCTAAGTAGATGGCCCCTAAACAACTGAGTTGATAAGTTATACTTTAAAGCCAATTACAAAAAATTTCAACTATCTAACGGAACTCCTTGTAAAACAATTTAAATCCACCCTCTGTAAGCCCACTGAGTCACTGATAATAACCGACCATATCTATCCCAGGTGAGGTGGCAGTCTCTAATTGAGAACATGATCGACGAACACGGAAAAGATTTGGAGTTCTACGAAGTTGGCCCCTCACGTCAAATATCAGCTATGATTGCCCAGATACACCGACCTTCAAGACGTCGTACTAAAGCTACTGACTCTGGACCTAAATTATAGGGTTTTCTTAAGAACTCCAATGTGGTAGTACTAGTAGGAAGAACCCAGGCTGTTAAATTCGCCACATTTTCGTCAAAAAGTACGGCGTATTTAGAGTTTTCAAAAAGTACGCGAATGATTCGCCAATTTACAACTTCAAGTTTAAATTTTTAGGGCTGTTAAATTTGCCAAAAAATGCGCGAAAAATTCGGTAAAAATGCGGCTGTGTGAACGCGCAGCAGTCTCGCGTCTATAATCTAGTTGGATATGTGAATTGTGACGTTATACTTCAAATCTCAAACTTACAAATCTCGACGAGTAGACTAGACTGTGGAGGTAATTAAGTGATTTCAAGTTTATTAATAGAAGTTAGTTTACTCCGTAACGTCTTCGGGTATGAGCTAAATTTAACCCCTTGCGATCTTTGTCAGTACCCACGCTAGTCACTAACCAGTAACCACGAACGTGTCGCGGGAAACGCATGTTTTGGCAATATTTCACCATACAAAGCCAACTATCGTGAACATTTTGATGCGGGCAAGTGATTTCCTGTTCCCGTATTTTTTTAAATGCGACAATTTTCAGAAAAAATTTGTATGCGAATTTAATTCGAAAAATACGTTTAGTGCGAATTTAACAGCATTGGGAAGAACGCTTGTTCCTAGTACAAAATATACTCCTTCTTATCGGTGATTTTTTAGATTTTTATAGAATTTATACTATACGTTTTGTCAAAGTTTTTTGAATTTAAATTATTCTGCCTAATGTATAATATCTCAATTATCTATTTAACATCATACAGTGTCAGCATGATCGTGATACTCAGCCGTTCTGGTAACTTTTTAAGGATTTGGTTGCAGCTTACATTGGTTGCAGCTTACATTTTCAGGGTCCATTATTACTTCATTTTTAAAGTTTGAACGTTTTTTGCGATCCATTTGTATAAATCAGCTTGATAAAATTTGAAAGCCCGAGTTGAGGCGAGTTTATTTAACCGATGTTTTGCTAAAAAGATAGTTATCTTCTCTACACCAATTATTGCTTCAAGTTCATAACTCCAGTTGCATTACATGTTGCAAACAAATATTACACTTAATAAAGTAATAAGGAGCGTTTTTACGCAGAAAATACCCCTAATGACTAGGGCATTCCTTCCCCTCTACTAAGGTCTTTCTTATTGTCAGTCTTTCTCTCTGATTGCATCAACTCAGAATGAGCACTTCAATCGTGCCATATGCCATCTACAGTTTACTGACTAATTGGTTGCGGGTGAGAAATGCAGTAAAATTTCGGTCCTGGAAATTTCATCTTCAAACGGCCAAGTAGCGCAGTTGGTTAGAACGCCAGCTTTTCAAATCGTGAGGTTGCGAGTTCGAATCCCACTGTCTGCCTGGTCGTGGGGTGAGCGTCGTTGACGTTCAGCTAAGGATCTTGAGTGGTCTATGCAGCCCTCCGGTCTACTCAGCCGAATACTCGAGAAATCGGGTGTGAGGGTTAAATGAGGAGCTGCACATTGCAGCAAAGTCTCTGGCGAAGAAAGTATGGTACACACTACCTTAACCGTCACTGGCCAAAACAAATCCTTCGGCTTCCTGGAATTGGCTGGTTGCACTTGTGTAACAATGTGGCTGTTGGAATACTCCGAAGTAAAATAAGTGTCTTGATTTAAAAAAAACTAAATATGGGACAGAATTTGGGACAGTACGATCTTTCAATTTTCTTCGGAATTTTGACTTCTAGTACCTCAATTTGGTTTCATACCATCATCAATTACTGACTAATCGGTCTCTCGGCAAAAAATTCATCCAATCTGTCAAATTTGTGTTCAGAAATTTTCATATTTGAAAATGGGACAGAATTTGGGGCAGTATAATTTTTCAATTTTCTTCGGGATTTTGACTATCAGTACCTTAATTTGGTTTCATACCATCATCAATTAACTGACTGATTGGTCTCTGGGCAAAAATTCCATCCAATCTGTCAAATTTGTGTTCAGAAATTTTCATATTTGAAAATGGGACAGAATTTGGAAAATGTGAATTTTCGTTTTGTGAAGATTTCTGCAGTGAGCTAACTCCGACCGAAATCAAATTTCCAGAACCTCAATCGTGTCATGTGCCATCTATAGTTGACTAACTAATTGGTTGTGGGTGAGAAATTAATCCAATCTGTCAAATTTGTGTTCAGAAATTTTCATATTTGAAAATGGGACAGAATTTGGAAAATATGAATTTTCGTTTTGTGAAGATTTCTGCAGTGAGCTTCCTCCGACCGAAATCAAATTTCCAGTCTAACATCAATCGTGTCATATGCCATCTATAGTTGACTAATTAATTGAATGTGGGTGAGAAATTCAGTATAAACTGTAAAATTTCGGTTCTGGAAATTTCATCTTCAAAAACTGAAAATGGGACAGAATTTGGGGCAGTACGATTTTTCAATTTTCTTCGGGATTTTGACTTTCAGTACCTTAATTTGGTTTCATACCATCATCAATTAACTGACTAATTGGTCTCTGGGCAAAAAAAACCATCCAATTTGTCAAATTTGTGTTCAGAAATTTTCATATTTGAAAATGGGACAGAATTTGGAAAATGTGAATTTTCGTTTTGTGAAGATTTCTGCAGTGAGCTTCCTCCGACCGAAATCAAATTTCCAGAACCCCAATCGTGTCATATGCCATCTATAGTTGACTAATTATTTGAATGTGGGTGAGAAATTCAGTAGAAACTGTAAAATTTCGGTCCTGGAAATTTCATCTTCAAAAACTGAAAATGGGACAGAATTTGGGGCAAGATGATTTTTCAATTTTCTTCCGGATTTTGACTTCCAATTCCAGTAACTCAATTTGGTTTCTTACCATCATCAATTAACTGACTAATTGGTCTCTGGGCAAAAATTCCATCCAATCTGTCAGATTAGTGTTCAGAAATTTTCATATTTGAAAATGGGACAGAATTTGGAAAATGTGAATTTTCGTTTTGTGAAGATTTCTGCAGTGAGCTTCCTCCGACCGAAATCAAATTTCCAGAACCCCAATCGTGTCATATGCCATCTATAGTTGACTAATTATTTGAATGTGGGTGAGAAATTCAGTAGAAACTGTAAAATTTCGGTCCTGGAAATTTCATCTTCAAAAACTGAAAATGGGACAGAATTTGGGGCAGTATGATTTTTCAATTTTCTTCCGGATTTTGACTTCCAGTAACTCAATTTGGTTTCTTACCATCATCAATTAACTGACTAATTGGTCTCTGGGCAAAAATTCCATCCAATCTGTCAGATTAGTGTTCAGAAATTTTCATATTTGAAAATGGGACAGAATTTGGAAAATGTGAATTTTCGTTTTGTGAAGATTTCTGCGGTGAGCTTCCTCCGACCGAAATCAAATTTTCAGAACCTCAATCGTGTCATATGCCATCTATAGTTCAGTAATTAATTGAATGTGGGTGAGAAATTCAGTATAAACTGTAAAATTTCGGTCCTGGAAATTTCATCTTCAAAAACTGAAAATGGGACAGAATTTGGGGCAGTATAATTTTTCAATTTTCTTCGGGATTTTGACTTTCAGTACCTTAATTTGGTTTCATACCATCATCAATTAACTGACTAATTGGTCTGTGGGCAAAAATTCCATCCAATCTGTCAAATTAGTGTTCAGAAATTTTCATATTTGAAAATTCTACAGAATTTGGAAAATGTGAATTTTCGTTTTGTGAAGATTTCTGCAGTGAGCTTCCTCCGACCGAAATCAAATTTCCAGAACCCCAATCGTGTCATATGCCATTTATAGTTGACTAATTATTTGAATGTGGGTGAGAAATTCAGTAGAAACTGTAAAATTTCGGTCCTGGAAATTTCATCTTCAAAAACTGAAAATGGGACAGAATTTGGGGCAGTATAATTTTTCAATTTTCTTCGGGATTTTGACTTTCAGTACCTTAATTTGGTTTCATACCATCATCAATTAACTGACTAATTGGTCTGTGGGCAAAAATTCCATCCAATCTGTCAAATTCGTGTTCAGAAATTTTCATATTTGAAAATGGGACAGAATTTGGAAAATGTGAATTTTCGTTTTTTGAAGATTTCAGCAGTGAGTTAACTCTGACCGAAATCAAATTTCCAGAACCTCAATCATGTCATGTGCCATTTATAGTTGACTAACTAATTGGTTGTGGGTGAGAAATTCATCCAATCTGTCAAATTTGTGTTCAGAAATTTTCATATTTGAAAATGGGACAGAATTTGGAAAATGTGAATTTTCGTTTTGTGAAGATTTCTGCAGTGAGCTTCCTCCGACCGAAATCAAATTTCCAGAACCCCAATCGTGTCATATGCCATCTATAGTTGACTAATTATTTGAATGTGGGTGAGAAATTCAGTAGAAACTGTAAAATTTCGGTCCTGGAAATTTCATCTTCAAAAACTGAAAATGGGACAGAATTTGGGGCAGTATGATTTTTCAATTTTCTTCCGGATTTTGACTTCCAATTCCAGTAACTCAATTTGGTTTCTTACCATCATCAATTAACTGACTAATTGGTCTCTGGGCAAAAATTCCATCCAATCTGTCAAATTAGTGTTCAGAAATTTTCATATTTGAAAATTCTACAGAATTTGGAAAATGTGAATTTTCGTTTTGTGAAGATTTCTGCAGTGAGCTTCCTCCGACCGAAATCAAATTTCCAGAACCCCAATCGTGTCATATGCCATCTATAGTTGACTAATTATTTGAATGTGGGTGAGAAATTCAGTAGAAACTGTAAAATTTCGGTCCTGGAAATTTCATCTTCAAAAACTGAAAATGGGACAGAATTTGGGGCAGTATGATTTTTCAATTATCTTCCGGATTTTGACTTCCAGTAACTCAATTTGGTTTCTTACCATCATCAATTAACTGACTGATTGGTCTCTGGGCAAAAATTCCATCCAATCTGTCAAATTAGTGTTCAGAAATTTTCATATTTGAAAATGGGACAGAATTTGGAAAATGTGAATTTTCGTTTTGTGAAGATTTCTGCGGTGAGCTTCCTCCGACCGAAATCAAATTTCCAGAACCTCAATCGTGTCATATGCCATCTATAGTTGACTAATTATTTGAATGTGGGTGAGAAATTCAGTAGAAACTGTAAAATTTCGGTCCTGGAAATTTCATCTTCAAAAACTGAAAATGGGACAGAATTTGGGGCAAGATGATTTTTCAATTTTTTTCCGGATTTTGACTTCCAATTCCAGTAACTCAATTTGGTTTCTTACCATCATCAATTAACTGACTAATTGGTCTCTGGGCAAAAATTCCATCCAATCTGTCAAATTAGTGTTCAGAAATTTTCATATTTGAAAATGGGACAGAATTTGGAAAATGTGAATTTTCGTTTTGTGAAGATTTCTGCAGTGAGCTTCCTCCGACCGAAATCAAATTTCCAGAACCCCAATCGTGTCATATGCCATCTATAGTTGACTAATTATTTGAATGTGGGTGAGAAATTCAGTAGAAACTGTAAAATTTCGGTCCTGGAAATTTCATCTTCAAAAACTGAAAATGGGACAGAATTTGGGGCAGTATGATTTTTCAATTTTCTTCCGGATTTTGACTTCCAGTAACTCAATTTGGTTTCTTACCATCATCAATTAACTGACTAATTGGTATCTGGGCAAAAATTCCATCCAATCTGTCAAATTAGTGTTCAGAAATTTTCATATTTAAAAATGGGACAGAATTTGGAAAATGTGAATTTTCGTTTTGTGAAGATTTCTGCGGTGAGCTTCCTCCGACCGAAATCAAATTTTCAGAACCTCAATCGTGTCATATGCCATCTATAGTTCAGTAATTAATTGAATGTGGGTGAGAAATTCAGTATAAACTGTAAAATTTCGGTCCTGGAAATTTCATCTTCAAAAACTGAAAATGGGACAGAATTTGGGGCAGTATAATTTTTCAATTTTCTTCGGGATTTTGACTTTCAGTACCTTAATTTGGTTTCATACCATCATCAATTAACTGACTAATTGGTCTGTGGGCAAAAATTCCATCCAATCTGTCAAATTCGTG